TATATGTCAATGTCTGATCTGTACTATTCTATGTCCTATTGCACAACTATCATTGGCTTTAGAAAAAAAAAATGGACATCTTCGGATTATAATAGTCTAAACTTGAGCATGTTGAATTTGTTCAAGAGACAGTGTTGTTATTGCTGTAGTTGTCGTGATTCAAAGGGAAGGAATTTATAGATGCAACTTCTCAGAGCATCATCACATTAACACTTTCTGAGAAATTTAAGAGCATTAACAATTAACAGCACAATAACAGGGGAAAAACTGATTCTACTTTGATGTCACTAATTGACTAGTTGGTTGACCTATTTACCATCCTGTCCTGTCACTGTTAACCATCACCTCTTGGTCTGTTTATCAGGACTGTGAGGAGTGCATCAAACTGGACCCAAACTTCAGTAAGTGCTATACATTTTGTTTTCTCAGCTTCCGTGTGAGATATATATATATATATATATATATTGCAAACACCATACACTATCCACTCACTTTTAGTTAAGGGTTACACGCGCAAGGGAGCAGCACTGGAGGCTATGAAGGATTTCTCTAAAGCAATGGATGTGTACCAGAAAGCTCTCGAGCTTGACTCCAACTCAAAGGTATACATGACCTGCTCTGTTATCTCTGAGTTTGAGGAGGATTGTGCTGGTGATGATGGCCTGACATACTAACATTATATTTATCTATTCCTCTTTCACTACAGGAGGCCACAGAGGGTCTGCAACGCTGTATGGTGAGCCAAGCAATGCGTAACGACAGCCCAGAGGAAGTGAAACGGAGGGCTATGGCCGACCCAGAGGTGCAGCAGATCATGAGTGATCCTGCCATGCGCATGATCTTAGAGCAGATGCAGAAAGACCCACAGGCCCTCAGCGAGTAAGAAACCATTCAAGTATTATTTTCAGTATTTTGCAGTGGTTCACAATCTGGCTTCCCCAGTGCACTGGATGTTTCCATTATCTAGTACTCTTGATTCAACTAATATTGTCTCTGCATGAACTGAGCTGGGGGTGTAGATTAGTGAGATACAAAGTCATCGTCACAGTAGACTTTAAGTACTGCAACTGTGATATGACATCACACTCTGAAGTGTCTTTTTTTTTTTTTTGTGAAACACAAAAATATTAAACATAATTTAACCTGTAATACAGCCAAAATGTAAAAACATGCATTCTTCACCTTACTGCAAATCTGCAATCCTGAATCCTGAAGTGTGGTGTGACCACCCTTTAAAATGTGAGGTAAGAGATTGACAACAAATTAAGATTTAAAAAAAAAAAAATTCACGAAATGTAAGCAAACTGATTTGAAATACAACAAATACTACCAGAATTTATGCAAAGTTAAAAAAAAAAAAATACAGTAATGAGAATTAGGGGGAATACCTAATTGTAATGAACATGACAAATACAAAAACTCTTAATGGTACAAAAATGTTTTTTTTTTTTTGTTTGTTTTTTTTTTGCTTTAAGAAAAGTATTTAAAAATGTGTCCAGACATGTTCTTTAATTTGTGACATTCATATAATGTAAATATTTAGGATTTTTCAGTGTCTCATTTCATTTTTTTCCCTTCTGTCCATCTAGTCATCTAAAGAACCCTGTCATCGCTCAGAAAATTCAGAAACTGATAGATGTTGGGCTAATAGCAATTCGGTGATCAAAGGAACCAGAAGTAAACCCAGGACATTATTCATCTACAGAACAGCAACAAGAAGACTACGAAGGATGGCGGCATTCCAAACAAATTATTCACCAAATTTAACAGGCACCCTAACGCTTCTCCTCCCACTCATCCCATTAATCTTTTATTTTTAATTTTTTTGAAGCCTTAATTGGATTAAAAATGTGGCCAATTAGTATTGCCTCAGCACTACATTCACTATTATCAGTTGTCATGGTTTTCAGACATTTTATTTTTCATACATTAGTGTATTAAAGAGTGGGGTTTGAACCTTTAATATTAAAAGCAGTTTTATTTATTTTATTTTATTTTATTTTATTTTTTCTTGTATGTATTTTTTACAGCTCAGTATTTGGCAGATTCGTTCTGAATCTGTTCTCTTATGGTTTTTGTATGTGGGGGGGTTTTGTTTCTTCCATTCTTTGGAGAAGAGGGGGAGGGAAGTATTGTGACATCAGCTCGCCATCAGTGGTTCATTTTCACATAGTAGGCCTGTTAGAAATCTGTCTGTCTCTGAATGTGAATGCATCGCTATTATTGTACTATACAGTCGTGGCCAAAAGTATTGGCAGTGACATAAATTTTGTGTTTTGCAAAATTAGCTACTTAAGCTGTTGTGGTGTTCATTCACATCGTTTCTGCAAGTATTGGCAGTGACATAATCTAGAAACAATGTGAATGAACGCCACAACAATTTAAGCAGCAAATTTTTCAAAACACAAAATTTATGTCACGACTGTACGACTGTATAATGCACTTCTATTCATGGGGGAGAGCTTCATAGCTCAGAGGGCCTCCCACCTGTTTGGCTTCGGTTCATAGTTTGCGATCGATTAACTGACTGTGATTTCAGCTTCACCACATTGAAATGCAACCATCAGTTTAATAAAGTTCTGGATCCATGAAGTTGTGTGACATTTGTGTAAATCAACATGCATTTATTGTGTTCATTCCATGTTTGGAATGGTACATTACAATATCGCTTACTATTTCTATACTACTATTTAATACTATTTTTGTATTATGTAAGTTTTGCTAAATATTTAAACAGGATGTAGTGGATGCTAGGATGACCTATGAAACAATACAATGTGCAATATACAACCCCAACACAATGTTTGGAGTACTGTATTCCACAATGCAATGTGTTCAGCTTGACCATCAATTTTCAGTGTAAATCGACTGAACAAGAAGCAAAATCGTGCTACGGTCTACTATTCATATATATACAGTGGGTACGGAAAGTATTCAGACCCCCTTAAATTTTTCACTCTTTGTTATATTGCAGCCATTTGCTAAAATTCATTTTGTGCATGTTTGTCAGTCGATGCACTTAATACAGTGTTGATCTGCCGTCAGCTTGTTGTAGCCAATTTGTAGCTTAGGCTGATGATACACGGGGCAATTTTTTGGGCAATGTTGCCGTCAACGGGCAACCAGATGAGACACAGGGTCCATGTCCGATCTAAAATATCCAGATAGACATTTGTTACCCATCACAATGGGAAAGTTCCCAAGCAATATTGCTCAAAAAAAGTTGCCCCATGTATCGTCAGCCTTACAATTACTCCTGATGTAATTGCATTAAATACTGTATAGACTATAAAACGATTATATACAAAATAATATATAATTATATATAATACAGGCAGGGTTTGAAATTAACACCCGCCAACCCGCCAAATGCGGGTAAAAATCAGCTGTGGCGGGTAACGCTGTCAAATCACTAGCCAATTTGGCAGGTTACTTTTCGTAAATTATGTTTACTAATTAATTTCTTGAGGAAGTTCAGCATCATGTCATTCCAAACCTGTATGAATTTCTTTCTTCTGTGGAACATAGAAGATATTTTGAAAAATTCAAGAAATGTCGGTCCATGCAGAAATCAAGGGTAACCAAAATGGTTTGGTAACATTCTACAAAAAATCTTTTGTGTTTTACAGAAGAAAGTAAGTCATACAGGTTTGGAAAGACATGAGGGTGAGAAAAGGATGACAGCATTTATTAGCAGTAAATTTCCTATGTTCTAGCACAAAATCAATGCTTATACTGTCAAGTGCATTTCTATGTGACAAAAATGCAGTAGGCTATTAGTTTGTTGCATTTGCTGTGAATTCAGTAATATATCATTATTTGTTTTTGTCCTCATTTATTTATTTATTTACTTACTCCAATTGAAGGCCCTATAACACAGCAAAACATTCACAGGGGAACTTGAGGGCCGGATAGGCTGGATTTGTCCAGGTCCGAATTTTAACCCCAGTCCAGCCCTGTACCCGTCACTACGCATCAAATAATGGCGTGGCGGGCACACTGGTTTCCTTTGCATTGAAGCAATTTCACAATTTGAGTTGAATTACTGAAATAAATTAACTTTTCCACGACATTCTAATTTATTGAGATGCACCTGTACATTATATATAACACCAAAATATAGCATCTAATGTTAAAATGTATGTTTTTACATATCCACATCCTTTTGGTCAACTCAATAAGTATTAACTTAAAACGTAACTCTGGTAATAGTACAATGCAGTCAAGGATTGTTTTGTTGTTAGCTTGTAGCAAACACTTGATCATCCACTGACGTGTTAGATCTATGAAAGTATTGCCAAGATTTTAGTAATGAAGTGGTACTATCCTGGTTTACCAGCTGGGTCGACTTGGACCAGATATAGAAACCAGCAAAACGGGTAGAAGCAACATATTGTGGCTGTTGGTTTACTTAAAGGCATAGTTCAGTTCACCTAAAAATTACAATTCTGTCATTTACTTTTAAGATGTTCCAAACCTGCATGAGTAGTATTTTTTTCCCGCTTAAAGTCCTTTGGAATGGCTAACACCAACTACTTACATTCTTCTTTTGGGTTCAGCAGAAGAAAGAAACTCATACAGGTGTGGAACAGCTTGAGGGTGAGTAAATGACATAATTTTCATTTTTGGGTGAACTATCCCATTAAGGAAGCAGCTTCTGACTACAATATGTTTCACACGCTCTTTGTACTTTAAATTGTAGTTTAAACAATTAAATATTTTTGATAAACAACAACAAAATGTTAATAATGACAGATGGGAAAACATTAATCCTTCAAATTACGTCATCTAACAAAAAAAAAAAAAAATGAATGGATGGATGGTATGAATTATAAATTTATGGCAAACCTCCGGGAATCACCGGGTGTAAAACGCACCTTAATTATTTGTCCATCCGCTCTGATATAATGTATTTTATCTGTACACTTCTGCCTCGAAACACATTCATCTACTCAGAGGAGCAGAGCCAAAGCACAAGCAAAACAATATTTTTTCGCAAGATGCATGAAGTTGTACTTTTTTAACCGCTAGAGAGCCAACAGTTATATATTGTAGTTTAAAGTTTTTTTTTTTCATCCTAAACTGATACAATAATAGTAATTGATTTTGATCACCTTTTAAATAAATAAACTCAGTTCTGCCAAATCTATCCAGCAGAGAGCACTATATAGTTACGTGTTTAACAGTTGATGTATAAGTGCAGTAATCATGAGAAAAGGTCAAATTGATTAAACTGTATTGTGGGAGCAGAAGTCTTCTAGATGTCTTCTGTTAAAAAAAACCCGCATACCTAAACAAAGAATAAAAACTGTATATGGCTTTTTCTCATTTTAAAAGTGCATCTCTATCACAGGAAGAGGAAGAGAAACCTATTTATGGGTAACTGAACCCTTAAGAAACCAGTCTGAAAAAGAGAAGAGCCATTCACTCGCATAGATGGGGTGAAACCTCAGCAGAGAAAGACAGAAAAAAGTGGGAGGAAGTGACAGCACATGTCTCACAAGTTCTTGAGAGAGGCAGATAGAAAGTGCTAGAGACTAAGGGCGTAGTCTGTACATCGCTTAACATTTTTGGAACCACAACCATACGAGGTAAGAAACAGAAATAAAAAAAAGAAACAACAGAAAGGAAGGGTGGGATGTTTTGTCTGATGGCTGTTGTAAGGTTTAGAAGAGAAGGTGCACACGCATGGGCCTTCAGGCCTAGACATCGTACCGTAGTGACATTATCTTTGTTTTGTCATAATGATTTCATAAGTTTATTTATTTATTTATTATTTGGTTACACTTTATTTCGATAGTCCACTTTAGACATTCTAATAACTATAAGTAACTTTGTAACTACATGTCAACTAATTCTCAGAGTAGACTGTTAGGGTAGGTTTAGGGTTAGTAGAATAAGTTGACAAAGAAAGTGTTAGAAGATATTAAGCAGACAGTCTACTAATACTCTACTAACTGCTAGTTGACATGTAGTTGCAAAGTTACTTACTGTTAATAGAATGTCTAAAGTGGACTATCGAAATAAAGTGTTACCTATTATTTTAATCACAGTGTAAAATATTCCTGGTGCACCCTGCTACATGTGAATTAACAAAGGTTTGATTTTTTGGTACCACTTTAGTATAGGAACCAATTCTCACTACTAACTAGTTGCTTACTAGCATGCATATAACTAGCATATTGGTTATTTACTTATAAAGCACATACTCTGCTGGCATGACCATATTTTACATCACTAATGCTACCCAATACCTAATCTCAACAACTACATTACTAAACAGGATTTAGGATAAATAAATCTTAAAAACATTTAAAAACATATTTAAAGGAAAGCAAAGGCCACCGATCACATTAAATTCACACAGCAAGTTTGTCTTTCTGAATGGTTAATGTTTTTGATTATTATGTAATTTAATATAATGTAAAGTTGACTTTTTATTTAACATAATGTACATATCATTTTACACAGATAATAAATCAATCAAGCAAATTTTAGAGAACAAAAGTGCTGGGAAAGTTTTAAAAAGGCAAAGTACTTTTATACAAGGCCAAATTTAAATTAGATTTAAATTTAACTCTCTCTCTCTTTCTTTCTCTCTGTGTGTGTGTGTGTGTGTATACACACATTGTTGTAATACATTACTATGTAATTCATTACTGTAATTAAATTTCCCTTTAAAAAGTAAAGCAAGGGATTACTCTTTTTTTTTCTGTAATTTAATTACAGTTTCATGCCTATTCTTGTATTTTTCAACTGGTCAAGGTTGATACGGGATTTAGAAAGTAATTAGTAATAAGTAATGTAATACGTTTTATATATGTCATGTTATTTGTATTTAGCAGCCACCCATCTGAAATTGTGCTGATTAAAGTTAAAGCATGTTAAACTGATTAAATGCAAAACTATAAAAAAGGGAAATAGCTGATATTGTGGAAGCATTCAACTGGTCGAGGTTATACGTGATTTAGAAAGTACATCATTTTTAATTACTTTTTATATGTCATGTTATTTCCATGTTATTTGTCAGCCACCTATCTGTAAATGTGCTGATTAAAGCTAGTTAGAAGTTAGCAGGTTAAACAGATTAAATGCAAAACTATAAAAAAGGGAAATAGCTGAGATTGTGGAAGCATGACGTCTTATGGCATCTGTATTCAGACTAGAATGGCAGTGTGGGACCTGTCCGTCTCTGTAGAGGAACTGGGACCGGAGGCCCCACCTCTTAAAATCAGTGTCACCTCGGACCTACATATTGGTGGAGTCATCCTCAAAGTTGTGGAAAAGT